CGTAAAGATTTACACCCTCGGAAACCCTGTACAGGGTCGCTATGGGTCGGAACCGACTCGACGGCACTTAACAACAACAACAACAACAACTCTGGCCTATTGATTAACTCAAAAAACCACCTAGCTTTGAGTGGGGCCCAGAATATAAGAAAGTTCAATAACAGATTCAGTTACCATGCAAGCTGCTCTGCCATACTACTCAGCTGATCAAATGGTGTTTGAGGTATCAGTGGCAAATAGAGATGTTGTTTGGAGTCTCTGAGAGTCCCCTAGTGACGAGTCACAGGGCAGACCCTTAGAACTTTTGAGCAAGCCTTGCTATTCTTTGAAGATAACTACTCTTCATTTAAGAAACAGCTTTTGGCTTTTAGTGGGTCTTTATAGAGATTGAATGCCTAACCATGGGCCACCAAGTCACCATGTAGCCTGAGCTGCCTATCATGAAATGGGTGTTGTCTGAACCAGAGTCATAATATTAAATGTGTACAACAGCACTCATCATTAAATGGAAATGTTATATACAAGACGAGGCTTGAGCATAAGCAAATTACATGAGGAAGTAGCCCAAATGCCTAAGATTTCCATGCCTGTCTTATCATCTTCTCTCTAGTTGGCACAAGTGGAGGGGTTTAACAAACAAATTTATTCTCTCATAATTTAGGAGGCTAGAAGTCTCAATTCATAGCATTAGCTCTAGGGGAAGGCTTTCTCTCTCTGTTGGATCACAGTTTAGGAGGAAAGATCTTATCTCCTTCCACCATCTGTAGGTCCAACATTTGGAGATCTCCATGTATCTTGGCATCGATTTTCTCCTGTATCGAGGAGGACCTGGGTCATAAAGATGTGCTCTGCTCCCAGCTCTTTTTCCTTGGTGGTAGTAGGTCCCTTTCCTTCTATTGAGTTATCTCTCCTTTTATCTCTTATAAGATAAAAGGTGTTACAGGCTAAACCCCAAAGAAACCCCCATACATCAGATCAAGGCTGTGACCTAAGTAAGAGTCTTTCATCCCATCCTTAATCTGACTACTGATTGACTTATCACATCAGATCACATCATGGGGGAATCATTACATAATGCCACATTACATCATTACACAGCTGCCAAACCACTGAGAACCATAACCCAAAACAGGTTGACATATATTTTGTGAGGATAAAATTCAATCCATGACACCTTCCTTTTCCCAGTCTACACCTATGGTCTCATGGGGAATTCCTTATTGATTAAGAAAGATAAAACTCATACCTGGTTTACAGATGGTTCTACACAATATGCAGACACTACTCAAAAGTGGACAGCAGCAACATTATAGCCCCTTTCTGGAGCATCCCTGAAGGACAGTAGTAAAGTGAAATCCACCCAGGGGGCAGAACTTAAAGCAGTGCACCTGTACATTGATTTTGCTTGGAAGGAGATATATGCTTGTATACTGATCCATGGGCTGTGGTCAGAGGTTTGGCTGGATGGTCATGAACTTGGAAAGAACATGATTGGAAAATTGATAATAAGACGATATGGGGAAGAGGTATGTGGTTAGACCTCTCTGAATGGGCCAAAGAAATGAAGATATGTGTGTCTCATTTGAACACTCACTGAAGGGTAACCTTGGCAGATGACACTGTTAACATTCAAATCAATAGGCTGACACGGTCTATGGAAACCAGTCCTGTTCTTTACCCAGTTACTCCTGTCATTGTCTAATGGGCTCATGAAAACAGTGGTGGGGATGGAGGCTATGTATGCTCTCAGCAACATGGACTTCCACTCATCAAGGTTGACTTAGCCACAGTCACTGCTGAGTACCCAATATGCTAGCAGTAGAGACCAATACTGAGTCCCGATGTAGAACCAACCATTCACGTAGAATCATTCCTCAGGGTGATGAGCCAGCAACCTGATGGCAGGTTGATTACATTGGATCACTTCTGTCATGGAAAGGGTAGCATTTTCATCTTACTGAAATGGACACTTACTCTGGATATGGATTTGCCTTCTCTACATGCAAAGTTTCTAGAAAAACGACCATCTGTGGACTTACAGAATGCCTTATCCACTGTCATAGTAACATTGCCTTAGATTAAGGGACTCACTTCACAGCAAAAGTGTGACAGTGGGCCCATGATCATGGAGTTCACTGGTCTTACCATGTTCTCCATCATTCTGAAGCAGCTGGCTTGATAGAATGATGGAATGGTTTTCTAAAGACACAATTAATGGCACCAGTTAGGTGGCAATAAGGAGCTCTGGTAGCCTAGTGGTTACGAATTGGGCTGCTAATCTCAAGGTTAGCAGTTTGAAACTACCAGCAGTTCTGCAGGAGAAAGATGAGGCTTTCTGCTCCCGTAAAGGTTTATAGCCTCAGAAACCCTATACATGGTTGCCATGAGACAGAACCAACTCCACAGCATATAATCACCACCAGGTGGCAATACCTTGTAGGGTTGGGGCAATGTGCTCTAAGAGACTATATATACTCTAAACCAGCATCCAATATATGATGCCGTTTCTTCAATAGCAAGGATTCATGGGTCCAGAAACCAAGGGGTAGAAATAGGAGTGCCACCTCTAGTGACACACAACATTTTTGCTTCCTGTCCCTGCAACCCCGTGCTCTGTGGGTCTAGAGGTCTTAGTTCCAAAGGAAAGAATACTCTCACCTGGAGATACAATAATTATTCCATTGAACTGGAAGTTAGGAATGCCAAGCGGCCACTTTGGGTTCCTCACATCTCTGGGTCAACAGACAAAGGAGGAGATACTGTATTGGCTGGTGTGACTGACCCTGATTAGTAAGGGGGAGTTGGATTGATATTACATAATGTAGGTAAAGAAGAGTATGTATGGAATACAGTAGATTCCTTAGGACATCTCTTAGTATTACCATGCCCTGTGATTGACATCAATGGAAAATTATAGCATCCCAATTCTGACATGTCTATTAATGGCCTAGATCTTTCTGCAGTGAAGGTTTTGGTCATCACACCAGGAAAGAACTATAACCAGCTGAGGTGCTTGCTGGATGAGAAGGTAGTTCTAAATAATAGCTACAGCCATGTGACCAATTACAGATATGAAGACTGAATATTTCTTCCTTGTATGTGTGCATCAAATGTTTTTGCTTCCGCCGCTTATTAAATATAAGAGGTAAAGGAGCTAGTGTGATTTTGGATGTGTGTGTTAGTTGTATTGTGTTAGGTGCAAATATGACTTTATAATTGTTTTTATTTAGAGATTATTTAAGGTTTACGGAGCTGTGTATAGGTGCCAAGTTGACAAGGGTGGACTATGATAGTTAAAGTTGTGTGTCAATTTGGCTGTGCCATGGTACTCAGTGATTTGGCAGTTATGCAATGATGTAGTCATCCCCCATTTTGTGATGTGATAGCACATAGCACTTCAATGATGAAATATGATGCAGTCTCCTCTATGATGAGATCTGCTATAAGAAGTATGTCAGCGAAAAGGGAGTTTCCTTGAGGGTGTGGCCTACAGTCAATATATACAGACCTTCTAGCAACACTCTCTGGCTTATTGCTTGCTCTGGATCCCACATCTGGCTCCTCATCATCTTACCTTGTATTATTGGACTTGAGCCCATGTATATGTATGTATATATATATATATATATATGTGTGTGTGTATACATACATACATACATACATACATACATACATACAAGAGGGCTTCCAGGCATTCATGGAAATTTTTTCCATTGTTTTTTAATTCCATTCCAAAAAGTTGTTCCACAAACTTTTTGAAGTCTTCTCACATATACATACATATATTTCACTGGTTTTGATTCTATAGAGAACCTAACCTAAGATAAGTAGTATTCCATTGTATGTATATACTATAATTTGTTTATTTTTTCACCAGGTGATGAATAGTCTGGAAGTTTTGAGTTTTAGGCTACTGTGAATAAAGCTACAATAAACATTTTTTATAATTATTTGTGTGGACATATACATTCATTTCTCTTAAGTAAATACCTAAAAGTAAGATTGCTGGGTCATATGGCAATGCACGTTATACTATCTTACACAGTCCCTCCACCCCAACCCAGTATCCATATTCTAGGATCAGGCATTACCTGATTATGTTAGCCTCCTAGGTATATAGTTAAGAGAAATAAGGGCAAATATCCCCTTAAAGAACTGTACAAACATGTTCACAATGGCACTATATGTTGTGAACAAACTCAGAATAACCCAAATGTTCATCAACAGTAGACAGATAAAGAAAATTTGACATATTTATAATAATAGACTATCATACAGCAATAAAACAGAGCACAGTATATATAACAGTATGGATGGGTCTCATAGACTATGTTGAGTGAGAAAGAAGCCAAACACAAGAAAAATACATATTGATGACTCCAGTTACATAAAGTTCAGTAACATGCAAAGCTAGAATAAGTCCAATAAGTGATTCACTTTTGAGGTAGTGACTGGGAGAGACATATGAGAGGTTTCTGACATATTGGTATTATCCTAATCTTTACCCATATGATGTTTATATGGATGTATTCCATCTATGAACACTTGTCAACCTGTACATTTATGATGAGTGCATGTTTGTTTTGTTCCAATAAAAATTTAAACATAAATTAACGCTGATTTCTAAACTGAAGAAAAAGAATGCTGAAATCCTCTTCTTAATCAATTTGAAATAATAATTCTAAGAAGGTGGCCTTATTTTCCAACCTCTTAAGTTCCTTACGAAAACTTCCCTGTATCCACCATGTCCTAATGGCAATACTTGGGATGGAACATGGGCATCAACAAAGACACTTTCAGACTCTATTTTGGGTGTAAACTGGTATACCTTTTATGGAAAGAAGTTAAACAATACACATCAAGAAAATTACCAAAAAAATTATTCCATTCCTCCAGGAACTTACCCTAAATCAACAAATCACTCAAATATTTATGAACAATGATGTAGAGTTAAACATTAATTTTTTTTTAAGAAAAGATTCTTTGAAGGTAATACTTACAATCGGTGTCCCAAAAGGAATGTAACCTGTGGAAGGGAAGAGAAAAGAGTCAGGTTGTGTAACATCATCCCCACTCTGCCCTACTCACCTTTTAGCCGAGACACCCGGGGAGCCTTCTGGGCTTGGCCTAGTCAAGACCGGGCCTGACAACAGGGCTCAGGGCAGTTAGGCAGGAGGCAAGTTCAGCCTTCAGACCTTTCCACAGCTCAGCCCTTCCCCAGCCATCTGCCTTGAGTGAGGAGGGGTTACCAGCCTCCCTAAAACCCAGAAGCTAATGTGCAAAGGCAGGCTGTCTCTGCTTGAGGCGCCATCACTCCACTACTGAGCAATTCTGGACAATTTCCCCCTTGAGGAACATGCCCCTCGCCTACAAACACTCCACAAAACTGGCCACCATCCCAGGACCAGTGTCCCCTCAGCCTGTTTGTCTAGCACAGGCTTTTACATCCCCAGCAGCATGAGCTGTTTCTGAAGAGGGGATTTTCTCCACACTTGAGATGTGTACCTCTAATTGTCAGAACTTTTTCAATCTCAAGTACTCTGGTTAGACACCCGTCAGCAGAAAAATTGAGAAGTGGCGTGAAGCACAGCCAGGCCCTGGACACAGTCTCCTCTGCATTTGAGGCTCAACACTGCAGCTAGGCTCCTGAGGCTGGGCAGAACCTGAGGGTTCCAGGGCTTACCTGACATTCTAAAGGGCATGAAGATCTTCTCATTGGTGTCCGGATGTAGAATAGCCTGGCAAGAGCCGAGGAAGAGAGCACAGCGTGATGTGGGGAGGGGACAAGCATTGGCATTAGAGGAGTTAGGAAAGAGATGGGTTGCTTCCCAAGGAAAAGTCAGGCAACCAGTGGCTATATCTGCTTTCTGTCCAGTCAGTCCTTTCTCACATTCAGGGCAAAGAAAACCAAAATGTCTGCCACAAACTACACCACTCCTCCTGCCTAATCATCAAAGCCACCTGCAGAGAGACCAAATGCTGGTGTGACCATTATCTGTGCCTGGCATAGTGTAGGCAGGTAGGAAGGATTCTGTAGGAGTTCAGCCTCACTCCTTTCTCGGTGCTCTGTGGGTCCAGGGAAAGGCATGCTTGGCCTGAGTGCTAGTCCTCGGGGTACTGGAGAAGGAAAGGGTGAGGTGGGAGTGGAGAGGCTGGGTCTACAGTAGCCACGGGAGAAGGGGCTTAGTTTGGCTCCCTTAGACAGAGCAGGACAGGGCCGAGGAATACAGAGAAAGGAGGGGAAGCAATCCAAAATGGAATTACCTGCTTGATTTTCTGTGCACTCCAGAGCTGAAAGAGAAAGGAAAGAAAAGAACCTATTAGTTTAAAGTCTCAAAGCCATATTTTCTAATCAAGGATTCAGGCCTTGTGGTCCACGGAGGTATGGTATCAGGTGACAATGGAAGGCCACAGATCCCACAGTGGGAAAGCTGAGGACTTTCACAAATCTCTGAGTCAACTCTGAGAATGATTACAGATGAAGAATCAGCAGGTCACAGACTGAGCTAGAGCTTTCTGCCCAGATCGAGAGTCATGCTGGGGTTGGCACAGAGGGAGAAGACCAGACCTGCGTAGGGCCTGTGTGTTCAAGGAGACTTCTGAGACATGGTCAGAAATGACCACAGAGGTCAGTAAGAAGTCAGACAGGCTTGAGTGTGGATCCTGGACCTTCATTGAATCACTTAGACATTCTGGGCCTCCATTTATCTACCTGCAAAAGTAGGGAAGTACTACACACCTTATCAGGTGAGTACAGGATGAGTTAGATTACAAAGCAAGTCTGGGCCAAAGCACTTTCATTATCATTTAGCTGTAATCTTGGTGCAGCACTGTAGGATAAGCACTAGACTGCTAACCACAAGGTTAGTGGTTTAAATCCACCAGCTACTCCTAGGAAACCCTATACAAGGTCGCTGAGTGGGAACCAAGCCAATGGCAGTTCACAATAACCACAACAGTGACATTATCATACCAAGCTAATCCCGTCTGCCTCTCTCTGAAGGGTTCAGTAATAGATTGAACTGTGACCCTCCAAAATATATGCTGCAAATCCTAACCCCTATATCTGTGGACATTTGGGGAAAAGGTTTTCCTTATTATGTTAATGAGGCCACATCAGTGTTGGGTGTGTCTTAACATTTAATTACTTCTGAGAAATAAAAAGGGCAGAATAGGCACAGAAGCAAGCAAGCACCAATGGGGAAAAGCCAGATACTACATGGATATCTCCAAGAAGCTAAAACAGACAAGATCTTCGCCTTAGGGTGAAAGAGAGAGAGAACCTAAAGCCAGTGCCCTGAATTCAGAGTTCTAAACCCCCTGACCTATGAGGAAATAAATTTCCATTTGGTAAAGCCACCCACTTATGATATTTTTGTTAGATTAGCACTAGCAAACTAACACAGGCTCTAAGACCCTCTCCTCTCAATCTCCTCCACCATCTAAACTTCAACAAACTCATAACCTTTGAAGCTCCATGGCTATGTCCTTTAATAAACCAACAGCAACAATGGTAACAAAAGATGGCTGGTACCAGAATCCACTGGCAAAACACACTTCAAAAAATGAATTATTCTGCACCCTAATTTGGTGAGTAGCACCTGTGGTCTTAAAATCTTGCGAGCAGCCATCTAAGTAAGATACAGTTCTTGGTCTCTGCTTGTCTGGGATAAAAGAGAATGAAGGAAAACAAAGACTCAAAGTAGAAAACTGTTCACAGGGCTAACAATACACATGAACCATGGCTTCATCTAGCCTGCAGAACAGCGACATGGTGTCTAGCTACCAGGGATCACAATACATAATTCTGGATTGAATGGGAGAAAAATGTAAAGCAAAACTCAAATTCCTAGAAAAGTTCAGTGTATTAGAGACTCAAGAAACCCCTGAGGCAATCACCTTAAGATATTCTTTGAACTTGGGTGTGAAGCCACTCTCAGCAGTCACCTGTCATCCAAACTCTAGACAGGTTTAAACAATATCACCCATGAGCATCAGGATGGTCCCATAAACCATCAACTCCACGAGACCAAACAGTCAACATTTGCCCTGAAACAAAGATGGACGGTTACAAGATGCAGGGAAGTTAGATTAGTAGAAACTGAACAAACAGAATAGAAATAACGAGAGGGTTGACACATTGGGAAAACTATAACCAATGTCACGGATCAACTTGTGTTCATTAAGAGTCTGATTTGCTGTGGAAACCTTCACCTAAAACAAAAGAAATTGTTTCTTTTTGTTAAGAAAAAAGGACAAGATGGACATGGGGTGGGGGGAGGAATGACAGGTGGTGGCTGGCTGGTTACACCCAGCTCTAGAGTCTCTTTGGGCTCACAGGATAAGAGCATGCCTCCTTCAAGACACATGTCTATCTTTTGCCTTTTCTGTGACTCTAGGCCCACTGAAATCCTGCAGGTGGGGGTGGGGTGTGGGGGTAGAGGGAGTGGGAGGGGTTCTGAACTCTGGCTTCACATTAGAATCTCCTGGGGAATTCTTTCAGCAGTTCTCCAAAGCTCCTAGATGGTTCCAAGGTACTGCCAGGGTAAGAAGCCCTGATTTAAATGAAGATACTTCAGTTGTCCCCTACAATCACTAGAGACAGCATAGTATAGTATTCTCAGACCTAGCCAAACAGTTTGGGTTTCTGGCTTGGCCACGTCTACCTCTAGGAAGATAAAGCAAGCGAGTAAACATGGATTGGGGAGGTTATAACAGAACAAAATCTTCATCCAGCTTGATAAGAAGTCATAGACAATGTCTAAAACTGCTATGTCAACAAACAGACTGTTTATTAATATTGCATGGAGTAAAAGGATTTGAAAATGACTGCCTCTGGGGAAAATGACTGCCTCAGGGGGTGGTATGGGGTAGAGGATGGCTTTTTATATTGTTTGTTGTTGTCAGGTGCCATAGAGTCAGAACCGACTCATAGCGACCCCATGCACAGCAGAACGAAAATTTTTATATTGTAGTACTATTTAACTTATAAAATATAAGAATGCATTCCAAATCAAACCACTTGCCTTCAGGTTGATTCTGACTCATAAAGACCCTGCAGGGGTGAGGAGAACAGCCCCACAGAATTTTCAAAGCTGCATTGTTATGGAACCAGCTAAGCAGTTAACCAAGTGGTTACTAGGAGCTGCTAACCTATTGGTCAGTAACTGGAAATGACCAGAGGTCCCCTGGGATAAAGATGAGGCTTTCTGCTCCTGTAAAGATCTATAGCTTCAGAAACCCTCTGCAGGGTTGCTATGAGTCTCAACTGACTCTACAGCACACCATCATCGCCACTACCAAGCAGTTAACCACTGTACCACCAGGCTCCTTCAAGAATGCATGACTGTGGAGAACAAACAAGATGGCGGATTGGGTGGACGTGCAGTAAAGAGTTCCAACAACAACAACACAGAATACCCAACCAAGCAGGCTCGGTGGATGGTCCCAGAACTCTGAACCACATATAAAGAAATATTTATAAGGTTGCAAGGCTTACAGCTGGTGGAATTTGTGGCGGAAACAAGAAATCCATTGCTTTCTAGTCCAGAACACTCAGCTGCTCCAGAAGCCGCCATCTTGGGTGAGACCAAGCGGGGAAAGGATTGAAGCCACCACAGACGCCTGGCAGAACTGTGGAGATAAAAGTGTGGACATTCTTTTCTTTTGGTAGTTGTTCATTGGTCCCTTGCTGTCTGATAACCTCCACTCTGGTAACTATAGGGGTGCCTGAGCGGACACCCCAGTCCCACACTCAGAGGATTCTACTACGCATGCACACAGATCTCCTCAAATTTTAAAGAGACAGTTCCCAATTAAAACCAAATAGCCACAGCCAGCACTGAACTGTTTATAACTAGAAAAAGGGCCTGAACGGGGATTGTGGACTGGGACAAGAAGGCAAAAAAAAGGAAATGGGCCGAAAATTAAATCCTGTTACGTCAAAATGACCAACAGTGGCATGTTGAAACTTCCAAGAAGAAGAGTGAAAAGGGAAGTCCATTTCCTGATCGCATCTGTCTAGAGGCAATCAGAAAGCATAAAAAATACCAAAATACATACCCATCTAAGTATTAAGGCCACAGAAAACTCCTAAATATGCCAAAAAAAACCCCAGAAGCAGATGACCATATCTGCACATGTCC